GGCTAGAATGGAAATGAGCAAGGACATACACAGGAGGAGATGAAGACAGAGGGAATGGAGGACCATGAAGGGTTTTAGAAGTCATGGTAAAATAAAAACTTTTGTTTTCCTACTGAGAAAAATGGAAATTGCCAGAAGGGTTTCACAGAGGTGTGGTGGTATGATCTGATTTTGAAAGCCTCATTTTGGCTCCATAGGCAGGAAACAATGTAGGGAACAGGCAGAGAGCTCACTTTGGAGGCCTTTGCATAGTCTACGAAGGTGAGTCCAAAACTATCCACATTCTGGCTATAGAATTTATTTTAATCAACTGTTAGAAAAGATAAATACATCATTTCAGGATACAGTCTCCTTGCTTTTCAATGCACTTTGTCCATCTGTCAACAAGCTTTCAAATCCACATATTAAAATATGTTTTAGGTTGAGCTGAGAGTGACAAATGTACCACTGTCTTCACTTCATCTTTGTCCTTGAAGCGCTGCTTTCAGGGGACCAAACAGATGGAAGTACAATGGAGCAGACTAGAGGGAAGATGCTTTAATACCTCAAAACGAAGATTTTGCAGAGTTCAGTAGTGTGGGCAGAGGTGTGCAGATGTGCATTGTCATGCAGGATTACCATGCCTTGAATAGCAGTCCTCTGCATTTAATCCAATATTTAGACTTCAGCTCTTCAGTGAGCATCTCACTGTTATGAACACTATTGATTGTTGAACGTTTTTCCTGATAGTGTTCCAATACTGGCCCTTGAGAATCCTAGAAAATGGTAAGCCTCAATTTTCCAGCTGATGATTGACTTTTGAATTTGTTTCTTGGTCAGTGGTTGAGGATGTTTTCATTTCATACTCTGCCATTTACTCTCAGGCTCATAGTGATGAATTCATGTCTCATCACCAGTAACATTTTTTTTAAAGAAACTTTTACCTTCAAGCATCAATACAAATTTTGTTTCTTCTGAGGTCCAAAAGCTTCTGTTTATGCTCTTCAGTGAGTTGTTTTGGTATCTACCTCACGCAAACTTTTCAAAACCCAAGTCTATCATGGATTATTTCAGAGACAGAGTCATGGTTTATTTGCCAATGATTTGTTACATAATCCACTGTCTCTCGTCTATATGACAGAATCATTTCAGATACATGCTCAATGTTGTCATCAGCTGTGGATGTGGATGGGTGTTTTAATATAAATTTTTGACTCACCCTCATAAATGGTGGTGGTTTAGACCTGGGTTGTGCAGAGGAAGCTAATAAAAATGTTCAGATGAGGTATATAATTTGAAGGTGAAGGAATTAGGATTAGATCAGCTAGAGAGTAAGATCAATGGCTGCCAATATTTTATTTGAGTTTAACATTTTGATTTTAGACTTTGATCTCTAGGTATTTAATATTAGTTGCTTGACCTTCAGGGTAAATGAGTTTCTAGTCCATGTCTGAAAAACCATTTCATAGAAGTGAAGAGAAATTAGAGATGTCTAGCAGCTAAGAGGAAGAGAGAAAAATACAGAATGTATGGGATACTACACAAAATTACTGAGTCCTTTTATTCATAATTATCCATTAGACATCTCCTTTTGTACTTCCAAAAAGAGGGAGGAGAGAGAGAAACAACATTAGAAAGACAGTGTGAACTGGTAAAAATGTAGTACGTATATGGTTAAATCTTAGAATGTTACTGTGAAGTGTCTTCGAGTCAGTTCCAACACATAACAATCCTATGTGAAGTTTCCAAGGAATCACTGGTGGGTTTGAGCTGCCAACCCTGCAATTGGCAGTCCAGTGCTTATCCTACAATGCCATACTTGGACCCCTAGTTAAATGTAGTGCAAGGCATAATGAAATTTCTACTAGGATATTTAGTTGTACCATGGGAGTCCTGGTGTAGCACTGTAGGGTGTGCACTCAACTGCTAGGTCAGTTTGAACCACAAGGTCAGTGGTTCAAATTCACCAGCCACTCCTTGGAAGCACTATACAGGATCGCTGTGAGTCAGAACCAATTTAACAGCATTTAACAACAACAACAACAACAACAAATGGGCTTTTATTTTTTAAAGGCACATGACTTCTCATCTATTTCCATGACCCTTATCTAACAATGAATCAATGAATGAAGAGGAGTTTGTGTGTGTGTGTGTGTGTGTGGCACTTCAGGATAATGCACTAGACTGCAAAATCAGTTCAAACCCACCAGCTGCTCTTCAGAAATCCTAGACAAGGTTGCTATAGTCGGAACCAACTCAGTGGCACTTCACAATAACAACTCCACATTTGGGAACAAAATCCTGAACTTATAGATTTTACCCCACATTATAATGATGAATATCACTTTATGTTAAATCTGCTATTAACATTTTGAGACCATTACTGGGTCAGAAAAAGGAAACACCCCCTGCAAAACTAGTCCATCCATATTTCTCAACACTAGATTCTCTGTCTTCCATAGATAATCTCTGACATATGCAAGATATCAACCCAGGGGCTAGTACAGTTGTCGTCGGCCCAGATGACATGTAAGAATCACTAGATGAACTCCCAGAATAGGAGCAAGGGGTGCTGGCATAAGTAAAATAAGGTAAAGAGTAATAAAGTGGGTCCAGGAAGACAAGGCAACAAACAACTAGTAGAAACTGGATTCCAGACATTAAAACATTATACAAGCAGATATCCTGGGAAAATTATTTGGGGTCACCAGAGCGGAAATGTAACAGATGGGGGCAAAGTGGAATGTCTATTCTGTTTAACTGTTTATTTTTTTTCCCCTGAGGCAGATGTATTGCACAGATATAGCAACACACACTGATTCTCAGGAACAACATCTCAGCCACTAAATTGGCTAACAGATTTGGCATCTATAAGAATCTGTTAAATGAATATGCTTAGCATTGATTGAGAGCCCCAGTTACCTAAAAAAAAATAGTCATTTTCTCCAAAGTCTGACCAGCCTATGCATTACTGGTAGAGGAAAAGTGGATTTCACAGAACAAGACAAAGCTACCACTTGACTGCATTGATCTCCAATGCTTCGCCAAGGTTGTGAAACAAAATATGCCTTTTGATGAGTGTGAATTGCCCTTTTATGATCAGTGGTGGAAAGATTAATTTTTTGTAACTAGCTTCAAGTTTTCCCTTTGAATAGAAAAAAACACCAACATAGCCTAGAGAAAGCTGCTCACCCAAAGTCCCAGGAAAGCCAAAAATAAACCTGCATGCCTTTTATTTCTGGCAGACAGGATGGTTATAGAAATCTGCTTAATCATACTTAAGAAAATGGGCTAAACTAACACCATTAAAATTCTCGTGAAAATTTTATCAGAATAATAGCAAAAGCTCATCACAGGCACACACAAATGATAGTACTTTCCTCTTCCAGATATTTTACTACCCTGAGGAATAACAGATGGACTAATACGGGAGGCATATGTAAAATATTTATGAAAGGAAAGCAATTGAGATAGTAGCTCATAAAACAATAATTTCCTCTATTCTATGTGGAAAAATGAGACTTTTTTACATAATAAAATAAAATGTATTGTCAAACCCTACAGAAGCAATAGTAAAGACAAGAATAAAAATATAAGGTACATTCCTTCCAACATATTGAAAAGAGCTTAGAGGAAAATTAACTGCACAGTCATACGTGATTGGTGTTATTATTCCTTATAAGAAAACCTTACATTTGTATTCTTTCCCTCCTAAAGAGTTTAGATATTCTGAAGTAAGATATTTCCTTCAATGCCCCTCTGAAGCAGGTAGATGGCTCAGTTATTCTGTATACTTCATTAGTGATGACCATGAGGTGTACAAATAAAAGACTACTCTAAATAGAACTTGAAGATTTCTCACACAGCTCCTACATCTCTTAGCCACCTACTCAAAATACACCCAGTCTTCAAGACATTAGAATGTAACGAGCAAGCCTACTGTAAGAGCATACTTGGACATCTGGAGACCATCAGGGTAGGGTAGGTTTGGATACAATTTTAAGGAATGCAGATAGAGACCGTGTTAGACTAGTCCAAGGTAGATAAAGATCTTCGCAGCCACTTCTCCCAGTCTTATCCCCTTGACACATCATTCTTCTTCAATCTCTGACAATGAGAAAACTGCACAGAAATAATAAAACTTGATCCTGGAGAAGATAAAGAGATTAGTTGAAATGTCAAAGGCAGCATGCTTGCCATGGGGAAGAGTCACAACCTAAGTCAGTTCTCTCTGCAGGGGAGTGATGGTCATTGCCACAATGTGCCCCCAAACAAAGCTGACCACAAGCCTCACATATGCTAATATTTTTTCAGGTTAAAAAATTGTTTCCCTCTTGAAACTTCCACTTTCATTGAAATGCAATCATTTATATATATATATATATATATATACACACACACAAAACCTTAGAAAGTTAACAGCTAAGAACTGTATCTGGGAAAACTAAATGTCAGAAAAGAGAATGACTACCCCTGCCCATAAATACATATCCACACCATGATGCTATCATCACTATCGTCATTAAGAACTCCCAGCCTTCCATAAGGTTTCACTGAGGTTATCCACTTAAACGCTGAAATACTTCAAACATTTTTTTAAGTGGAATTCACAGACAATTCATAAGGTTATATAAAAGCCAATTCTGACCATAATATTCATTAATGTATTGAAAATAGTGATTAATGTTTTAACAACCTGTAAAAAATGACAGTGAGCTTTCAGTTTTACACATTGTATTTTAACCCGTTTATAGAAGATCAAATTTCATGTTGATGAATTTTCTCAACGATGACTATACTTACAGCACTCTTAGTTGAGGTATGCTGCAGGTTGCAAACTAATTTCAAGTAGAACATATTTTGAACGTTTGTCTACTACATTATTAAATCACTAATCATTTTCTAAAGCCAACTTAAAATGATTTCAAAAATTAATTTTAACTTATTTCTAAGATTATCAATGCCATTGTTCATGTGGCCACTCAACTAACTGTGTTTTCTGTCCTTCTTGTGTATTCCAGCCTCTGCAAGCACGTATGTCCCAACGGTGTGCAACGGGCGGGAAGTCCTCGACTCCACCACCTCATCCCTGTGATTGTGAATTGCAGTTCAGTTTTTGTGTTTTTAGACAGTTAGGCAAAGTGTCATGTGCAGCTCCAGAAAATGGAAACAGAGCAAAAGAACAACCCTAGTACCTTTTTTTAGACACATTACAATAAATTATTTTTGAGGATTGTACAGTAGTGATATGCTAGAAACTTTTTAGACTGATTTTAGTGCCCCTATTATTAACAATCCCCCAGAACATGGAAATAACCATTGTTTACAGAGCTGAACAATGGTGTCAGGGTCTGACAGGATCAGGCTTCTAAAAACACACAAAAACCATGATGGCAATATTAGGTAATTTTTTTTCCTATGAAGTTTTTTGTAGGTCCTTGTTGTAACTAATTTAGGATGAGTTTCTATATTGTATATTAAAGTTACTTTATGTGTAACAGATTGTTTTTCTCAGCACAAAATAAAAAGCATCTGTATTAATATAAATGACAATAAAACCTTCAAGGTTTTCCAGCATGGTGGATAATGGTTTGCTCTTTTTGAATCAGTTAAGGTAATCTGGATATGCTGACCTCAAATTATTTCTACTTTTAATGTTGAAAGAAATAGTCTAACTGTGCTTCCTTTTGCATTCATGTATTGAGCATGAGTTGTTATGCTCCCCTGTTGTGAATAGAGCTACACTTTCTTCAAGACTATAATGCTTAGACATTGACTGGCAACACCATAAATATAAGACTATCTCAATGGCCAGGTGACAATACAAATACTGGTTCTCAGAACATTGGTACAGCAGCCCAGAATTTGCTTGTAGTGAGCTCAAAGGCAAGGAGACGAGGCTCCTACATCTTGAATGATCCTGCCAAGGAGAGTCTGATAGCTCTCATTTCCAAAAAGAATCTCCATGACCATCAAGAACACTGAGAATGTGTCTTGTCATTCCATTGAAAAATCACTCTCACTATTCATAGCTGAGACTCCTGATGCATGCGGTAGGATCAGACCTGTACTACAAAGTACAAGGCAGCAATTCAAACTCATCTGCTGCTCTTCTGAGGCCCTAGTCAGGGTCGGAGTCGACTTGACAGCACTTAACAACAACAATTCACAGCTAAATGAGGCAAGAAACTCACGGGATTTGTATTCTGACAGGCTTTCTAAGTCCCAGGAGAAATGCTCAGGCACATGGGCTTGTCATTCAGCTTAAATATTATACTCACCTAAATAAAGAAGTCCTGGTGTGACACTGTAGGATAAGCACTGGACCGAAAGGTCAGTTTGAACCACAAGGCCAACACTTCAAGCTCAATAGCTGCTCCTTGGAAGCCCTGTATAGGATCACTATGAGTCAGAACCTGTTCAATGGCACTTAACAACAAAGAAGTAAATAGGGGCTATGCTAAAACTGTAAAGGGTTATTCTTACCAATGCAGTCTATTTCTCCCTGAAAGCCCTTTAGTCAAAAATCATTTATTATGAAAATTTTCTGAGAACCAAATAACCTGCCAGGTCCTAGGCCAGGAACCGTGGATAGAGTGTATTCATTTCCTGTGGCTGCCGTAAAAAATTTCTGGGTGACTTGAATTTATTCTCTCTGGAGATAGAAAGTCTAAAATGAAGATGTCAGCAGGGCTGCATCCCCTACAAAAGCTTTAGGGGAGAATCTATTCCATGTCTCTTTGAATTTCTGCTAGATGCCAGCTTCCTTGTCTTGGACTACATCACTCCAATCTCTGCCTCTATCTTCACATCCCCATCTTCCCTAGGTCTGTTTTCTCCTATGTGTGTCTCTTACACAGGTATTTGTTGCTTTTGTTAACTGCTGTTGAGTCGGTCCCAACTCATAGCAAACCTGTAAAAGATTTCCAAGGATCAGCTGATGGGTTTGAACTGCTGCCCTCGTGGTTAGCAGTTCAATGCTTATCCTATAGTGTCACACCAGAACACCTATACAAGTTTCGTTGATAAGTGCTGTTGAGTTAGCTCTGACTCATAGCAACCCTGTGCAGGGTTTCCAAGATTCATGGTGTGGTACTGTAGGATAAGCACTGGACTACTAACTGAAAGGTCAGTGGTTCAAACCCATCAGCCACTCCTTGCAAAACCTAAACAGAATCACTATGAATCAAAACTGACTCCATGGCACTTAACAACAATAATCGGATTTCCAAAGAGTGGCTGGTTGGGTTGAACCGTCAACCTTGTGGTCAGCAGTCCAGTGCTTATCCTACAGCACCACACCAGGACTTCTATACACTTGTTATTGAATTTAGGAACCACCAGATAATCCAGGATGATCTCATAATTACATCTGCAAAATCCTTCTTTCAAATAAGGTAACTTTCAGAGATTCCAGGAATTAGGGTTGGACCTATCTTTTGGGGTACTACTATTCAGTCTACTCCCAAGAGAAAGAGGAATACATGTTTGCTTTAAGAAGAGAATCAAGGTTATGAGGGAACCCACAGAGTAAATTACCAGGATCTAGATAATTAAAACATACTGAAACTATTTTTAAAAATCCCAAAATAGTGAACACATGCACAAAAGCACACAGGATTGGCCTTGAAGGAAATAAAGTGAAGAGTCAGGTATTAGAAATTCTTTTCTTCTTTCCCCATACGTTTGAATCAGCAACCTAATCAATCACTCCAAAACCTACCAGATGCTCAGAAAATGATGCTCACCAGTCCTTGAATTCTCATATTCAAATAAGAACCTAGAATTTCAGGAGTGGGTGGGGTAGATTGGATAATAAATTCAACAGCACTAGATGACAAAAATTAATTCTGCTGTGACGAAAACTGGCAGGAGTGCTAGCTAAGTATGCTCAGAATGAGCATCTGCTGAGAATAAAGGCTGAGGCAAGGCTGATAGAAGAGAAAATAAACTCAACCCACTGATGGAATGTGACAGTCTGAGGCAGGCAATATCAGATGGGTGCTTCAGAGACAGAGCTGATGCCTCTAACAATCAAGTTCATCATAGATCTTCTAAAACAAGACAATTAAGCTTGTGTTTGAATCTTAAGAAAATTGTACTTTTAAGAGCTGTATTTTGACCTGCGGCCATGGTTTTCCGTGCCCTGCTGGCACTCTGAAAATGCCGTATCTGGCAGCTCTCATCATTTTCTCCTTCCTTGCCATGTGCATTATTGCCAGTTTGAAAGTGCATCATCTAAGATAGGATCCCTAGAGATTTTTTTAAAAAACCACGCAGACTATGTATGGAAAATAACAACTGTAAAATCTTTTTTACATAAGCCATTTCAACTAGATAGGTTTTGGTTTATTTGTTTTTACTGGGGTAATATTTCATCCTTCCAGAATATAACCATCTTTGTAAAAAATCCTCCAGAATCTAAGGAATCTAACCAGAATAACATATAAAAACTCTATTTCATAGCTGAACAGTATGCTTGACTATCATTGGTGTCCTGGATGTTAACATCTGAAGTGCTCTGAGTCTTCTCCAGTTTAAATATTAATAGACTTTCTTGCCCAACTCAGGTTTATCCTGGTAAAATAAAATGGTCCTCATTTTCAAGCTATGTGGCAAATGGGCTAGCAGACCATGTGGAAGCTAGAAAAAGGAAGCATTTCAGTCAGTGTACTGGTAGTCTTCAACTTCATGCTTTCTCTTTGCCTTACTCACCAACTCTGGGCCCCAGAGTTCTTCAGTAAAATGTTGTCAGTATGGGCAAACCAAGAGAAGTAACGAAGATAGAAATATAGACTGTAAGCTCCACTGCTCGATGACTAGGGCTCAAGCCAATGAATAAAGCAATTATCACTCCTATTCTGTGACATTGTTAGCTGTCATCAAATCTGTCCCAATCCATGTTGTTGTTGTTCAGTGTCATTGAGTCAGTTCAGACTCACAGCAAGCCTTTATAGGGTTTCCAAGGAGTGGCTGGTAAATTTGAACCACTGACCTTGTGGTTCAAAGCAACTCTGCAGTCTAGTTCTTTATCCCACAGCGCCACACCAGAACTCCGTTCCAACCCATAGTGACCATTTAGACAACAGACTGAAATGCTGCCTGGTCCTGTCCTCTTCAAATGCTTGGCTATGTTTGGGCCCATTGTTATGGTCACTCAGTCAATCCACGTCTTTGAGAGCCTTCCCCATTTTTCCAACCTAGCGTAGTGGTTACAAATCGGGCTGCTATTCTCACGGTCAGCAGTTCGAAACTACCAGCTGTTCCGCGGGAGAAAGTTGAGGCTTTCTGCTCCCGTAAAGATTTACAGCCTCAGAAACCCTGCACAGGGTCACTATGAGTTGGAACTGACTCCATGGCACATAACAACAACAACAAGTTCATCAAGCACGATGTCCTTCAGGGATTGGTCCTTCCTGATGACATGTTAAAAGTCCATGAGACAAAGCCTCACCATTCTCATTTCCAAGGACCATTCTAGCTGTACTTCTTCAGTTTTCTTTATTCAGTGTCCAGCTTTCACATGCAGATGATGTGACTTGAAAAACCATTGTTTGGGTCAGCTGTATCTTAGTATTGAAAGTGATATCTTTACTTTTTAACACCTCAATGACGTCTTTTGCAGCAGATTTGCCTAGTGCAATCCATCCTTTGATTTCCTCATTGCTGCTTCTGTGGAGGCTGATTGCGGAGCCAAATAAAATTAAACCCTTGGCAACTTCCATCTTTTCTCTGCCTATCATGATGCTGTTGCTTATTAATCAATTTGTGAGGAGTTTTGTTTATGTGTTGGTGTGATCTATACTGAAGTCTATAGTTTTTGATGATCAGTAAGTGTTTCAACTTCTCTTCTCTTTTAGCAAGCAATGTCATATCATCTGCATATTGCAGGCTGTTAATGAGTCTTCCTCCAATCCTGATTTTGTGCTCTTCTTCATATAGTCCAGGTTTTGTTTTTGTTTTTTTATCATTTACTCAACATACAAACTGAATGAGGATGGTGAAAGGATACAACACTGATGCACACTTTTCCTGATTTTAAATCATGTAGTATCCCTTTGTTCTGTTCCAAGGACTGCATGTTGGATTGTATACAGGTTCCACATGAGCACAATTAAGTGCTCTGGAATTCCCATTCTTCACAATGTTATCCATAATCTTTTATTACCTACACAGTTGAGTGCCTTTGCATAGTCAATACAACCCAGATAAGCAACTTTCTGGTATTTTCTGCTTTCAGACAAGATCAATCTGACATCAGCAATGATATTCTTTGTCCCATATCCTCTTCTGAATCCAGTTTCAATTTCGTGCAGATTTTTAAAAAATTATACTCAGCAAAATTTGCATGTGTGTGATATTAATGATATTGTTT